CCCATTGGCCACATATGTGCAAGGGGCCTACTTCCAGATCATGCATGCCCCTTATTTGATGTCTCAGTCTCTGAAAGCACCCATGAGACTGGGTTAGTTGTTTCTGTTGGTCTTCTTGTGAGGTTCCTGTCCCTACCAAGTCCTTCCATCTTTCCTTCAGCACTTCCACAGAACACTCGGAGCTCTGCCCCGTGCTTGGCGATAAGTTCCAGCATCTGTCTCAATCCGCTGCTGACTGGAGCTTCCCAGACTACAGTCAAGTTAGGTTCCTGTCTACAAGCATAGCAGAGTATCATTATTAGTGTCAGGGGCTGGCTTTCTACCGTGGGCTGGGTATCAGGTTGAGCTAATTATTGGTTGGACTTTCCCTCAATCTTTGCTCCCTCATTATCCCTGCACTTCTTGTAGGCAGGTAATTTTTGGATCACAGGTTTTGTTGGTGGGTTGTTGTTCCCCTCCTTCCACTAGTCCTACCTGGCTAGGAGGTGGGGACTTCAGTCCTTATGACCCCCCCCCCCCCACATTAGTAGTCTCAGCTAGAGTCAAACCCATGTCCTCCAGGAGCCTACCCTGTTGCAAGCCTCCAGCTTGACAAAGAGATGTCCCCCCTCAGTTTCCCTTCTTTTTCCTAGCCCTCTCATCATCCCCCCTTTTCCAACATCTGATCCCCACCCTCATTTTCCTCCCAGTTCCATCTCCTGTCCAATTCTATCTCTTCATCACTTCAGCTGTCTAATCTATATCCCCTTCTGAGTGACATTATGGTAGCCTTCCTTGGGCTCTCCTTGTTGCATAGCTTCTTAGGGTCTGTAGATGGTGGTATGGTTATCCTGTACAGTCTAATATCTGCTTATAAGTGAGTATATACAATATGTGTCTTTTGGGGTCTGAGTTACCTCACTTAGGATTATCTTTTCTAGTTCCATCCATTTGCCTGCAAATTTACTAAAGATACATTTTTACTTTTGTGTGTACACATGCACCTATGGAGGTCAGATAGCAGGTGGTGGGAGTTGGTTCTTTGCTTATAGCATGTGGATCCCTGAGGTAGAACCTAGGTTGTCAGGTTTGATGGCAAGAGTGTTCACCTGCTGAGCCATTTCAGTGCTCTTCAAAAACCATTTTAAAAGAGAAGGAATTACATGAACAGTGTGAAATCCTCTTGAAATGTGAATGATTATAGGTCATTGGACGAGATGATTATGAGGAACTACATAAAGAAAAGTCACTGCAGTAGTAGTTACTTTGCTGTGAGCCTGGGCTACAGAGTGAGTTCCAGACCAATGAAGGATAGAAAGAAACTAAAAAAAACCCAAACAAATAGAAAACACAACAACCCATTTGAAATTTTAATTAAAATCCCTTTTAATTTTGTCCCTAATATGTTCTATAAAAATTATTCTTTCCAGGAAAAGAATTTTTGATCAAAATATGGGCAGTCTGTCCAGTAAGGTTACCAATTCCTTTATAACCAGTTAAGTGTAGGAAATTGACTTCAAACTGCTACCTCTTTGCTGACTATAATGAAATAGAATTTCATCCTTTATAGCTGAAATCCTCTGATTTTGTGTCAGTCTTCTGAATGGCAGGTAAGAGTCTTGATTTCTGTTTCTCGGAATGGATATTATTTCTATCATTCAGTTACCTCTGGGGTGAAAATTGCCCTACCAGTTACTTTGTTATTATATCATCCACACTTTACTTCTGTTAGTTATTCACTGTGGCCATCTTCTGCTTGTCTCCAAGTCCCTTTACATAAGAATCTTAATTTCTCAATAGTAGATTCTTCTGTCATATATTATTTAAAAAACTGATTATTGCATTTCCCTAAGTATATATTAAATATACGTGTATCTATTCACACATGTGCATGCACAGTTGACCAGTTCATGAAAAGATTCCGCCAAACTCCAACCATCTAAAGTCTTTTTTATTTGTAATATGAGGATGGAACTTAAAACCTCACAAATACTAGGCAAACATGGTACTACTGAGGTATACCTCCATCACTTTAATTTTGACAGAGATTCAAGCTAAATTGTATTCTGGCTCAGCATTCTGCATGCTGTTATTACAGGCATGAGCCATCACTCTAATCTTTAGGTTTTTTTTTTTTGACAGAATCTTTCTATATAGGCCAGGGGGCCTCAAACTCATGGTAATCTTTCTGCCTTAGGTTTCTGGATGGTAAGATTATCATGTGAATCATCATATTGGGTTTTGTATTTTGTATTTGAGTAAAGCAATTCATTTTCTGGACACATGCTTGTTACCCCAGCTCCAGAAGGCAGAGACAAGAAGATTGTCATGCATTAGCTCAGGCTATATAGTGAATTTTATGTCAATTCATTCTATAGAATGAAAGTCTTTCTGAAAAAGAAAACAAGCCAGGTGCACATGCCTGTATACCTAGCACCCAGCGCTCACCACTTGGGGAGGCAGAGGCAGGTGGATCTCTGTGAGTTTGAGGCCATCCTGATCTAAAATGCGAGTCCAGAACAAACAAGACTACACAGAGAAACCCTGTCTCAACAAAACAAAACAAAATGACAACAACAACAAACCAAGCCAAACAAACAAACAAACAAAAAACCCAAAATCAAGAAAACAGAATTTGGGTAAATCTTTAGTGAGTAGGAATACTTACTGTAAAACATGGACATGGACTTCGTGCATAGCAGTGCTAACTCTGCTGCTGTAAGGGTGGTAATAGGAAGATGGTTATGGCTTTCTGGCTGCCAGCCTACCTCCAAGTCCAGTGAGAGGTCCTTCCTTCCTCAAGGGAATAGGTCAGGGAAAGATAGAACAGGACAAATGACATTCTCCTCTGGCACACTTACATACTTATGCATTAACATCACACAGATCCACACACAAACGCACACAGACACCCCCCTTCTGAAACATACAAAAATATAGATATCACGTAAGGGGCAACTTGTTCAAATAGAATTATCTTTTCATTGGTTATACTGTGGCATTGCCAATTCAGCTCTTGTGGATTCCACCAGGGAGAGTTCTTGAAGTTAGATGAGAGTCACTGTAGGCTAGCTACGTGGTAAGATTAAACAGTGTTTGACTCTGAAGGTGCTATGAACCTTTTGATCACAGTTAAATTCTTGACGTGCTACCAAGGAATGGAGCTATCCATAGGCCTGATTTTATGATTACATTGAAGCTGATTTTGTCCTTGGGATTTTGAGTAGGCCAGGTCAAATTATTATGGCTCATATGTAGGAAACTGTTTTTCAGCTGAATCAGAATAATAGTTCATGAAATCATGCTGGAAATCATAAAGTACTCTAACAGAAAGTAAATTGTTAGTATGCTTTTTAAAATAGGCCTTTGGGAGTAAGTCATGAAACAAGAAGGCACAGAACCTCACTAAGTGGAAACATTCAAAAAGAAGGGTTTGGAAACCAGCCTGATAAGAGTTAGGAAGGAAGAGAGGAGAGAATGACTAGCATGTAGGGAGGGTTATTCTTTGTCACTTAGGGTAAACCAGACAAAGAACTTTGAAAACCATTGTTTCACTTTCTGGCCCAAAAAAACTTACCCATTTGCAAAGTATGCCAAAGAAGACATAGTTTATGGCATATTTGAACTATAAAATACAATAAATTTATTTATGAACTTCTAAATTTTTGATACATGCAGTGAATTTATCCCCAAAATATATCAAATGTGTATAAGATTATCCATAACAGTATATTATCACAGTTTTGATATTAGCTAGTTGGAGAGACAAACTTTCATTTAAAAATTAAAAAAGAAATTTAGACAGGGCCTCACTCTGTAATATAGATTGGTATAGAACTTAGTATGTTGCCCAGGCTGGCCTTGAACTCAAGGTGATCCTTTAGTCTCAGCCACTCAGGTGTGAAGATTACAATTGTGAAGCAACATGGCTGACATGTTAGATTCAACTTTTTCTATGGGAATGGGAATGCCAACTGAATCTTCTTTATACTAAGCAAGCAATATACCACTGAGCAACAGCTATGTTCTTTAAATTATTAAAGTATTATTATTATTTGAAGTAAGGTCTTATTGTGAAGCCCTGGTTGGCCTGGAACTTCATATGTAGACCAGGTTGGCTTTGAACTTGGGACAATCTTCCTGCCTCTGCCTCTGCCTCTGGAGTGCTGGAGTTGGATTCAGCCCTTTTCCTTTTTAGGCAGGCTAGTTTCAAACTCTTGGCAACCCTTTGCCTCAGCCCCATTATGGACTTGGATTAAAGATAAGCTAGGGTCAGATGAAAGGGGAAGAGGTCCTCCCATATCAATGGACTTGGAAAGGGGCAGGGAGGGGAGATGAGGGAGGGAGAATGAGAATGGGAGGGAATGAGGGAGCGGGATACAGCTGGGATACAAATTTAATAAACTGTAACTAATATTAAAAAATAAAATTTATAAAAAAGATATAAGCTACTATGTCCAGCTAACATTATAAACAATGAGAAATAATACTTTTTTTTCTCTAGACAGGGTTTCCCTGTGTAGACTTGGCTGTCCTGGACTTGCTCTGTAGACCAAGCTGGTCTTGAACTCTCAGAGATCCACCTGCCTCTGCCTCTCAGAGTGCTGAGATTACAGGCTTGTGACACTAAGCCTAGCTAAAATCATACTTCTTAAAATCATAGATTACTAATAATTAGTCAAGAAACAGAAATGTTAGAAGTCATGTGTGTGTGTGTTGCTTTCATTTGGAGGAGGGTTAGCAGATGTTTCATTACTATAAAGTGCAAACATCGACTTTTTTAAACAAGAGACAGTTTCACAGATAGGTTTCATTTTTCAAAAAAGAGGAAGAAACACCATTCTGTGGTCCAGTGTGGCTTTGTCAGTTACCTCCAGCCCATTTCCTGGGACTTCCCACTCCTTCTTTAGAACAACCTAGACTTAAGCGAAACAACTCTTTTTTTTTTCCGTTGGATCAGCTATACAAAGAAGGGTGCAGCTTAGTGTCTTGGTGGTCTTGTCAGTGAGAAGTTTGAGAATCTTTTGGAAAGATCCGTGACTGGCTAGCTCATCTCTATTAGGTTAGTCACTGTGTTGCCACAGGATCCCAGGAGCAGACTATTTGGTGAAGGTAAGGGAAGCAATGGGTCGTTTGATTCTCTTATCAATTATTCTCCTTTCTTTTCCTATGTTCTCTTAGCCTGTTATCATTAGAACTCAAACCTACTTTAATGGCATCGGAAAAGCTTTGTAGCCTACTGGAGTGACTAGGAACTTGATCAAATATTCAGTGAAGCTGGCCATTTAAGTAATAAAAAGTAAGCCAAACACTTCCTTCCCTGACATTCTTATGCAATTTTGGACATTTTGGATATTTCTAAGTTAGCGTTAGAGTTTATTTTAGTGTTGTTGTTGCTTGTTTTTTAGGGCTGGCTTTGCACTCTGGACCTTGTACATGCTAGGAAAATACTCTACTATTGAGTTACATTTAAATTTTTTTCTTTGAGAACAGGTCTCATTAAAAATCTGGCTTGATATATCAGACAGAACTTGAATTTTTAACATCCTGAATAGTTGTCATTATAGGTTTCTGGCCCAGCTTTAATATGCTCTTATTTAGTTATCTATCTGTTTATTTATTTATTTTCTTTGATATAAGTTCTCACTCTGTAGCCCAGACTGGCTTTGAACAAACAGCATTTTTTGTCAGCTTCCTTTCTGCTGATATTTCAGGTATGATGCACCAAACCTGCTAAGTAACAAGATTTTAAGGTACTTGTCTGCAATGAGGCTTGGAGATTTCTTAATAGCATAGTAGCAAGAGTTTTTATTTGTAAATTCTACTGTGTGCATAACATACCAAAAGGTTTGATTCATGTACTTAGTTCCTCAAAAAAACTTGCAATTTATGTTTCTTTGTTTTAGAGATAGAGTTTCATTATTTAATTCTGGCTGACCTAGAACTCACCATTTAAACCAGACTAACATTGAATTTGTGCAAACCCTCCTACCTTAGTCTCTCTCTGGCTTGAATTTTTTCCTTTTATGTATGTATGTATGTATGTATGTATTATAATTTACTCACTTTGTATCCCAGTTGTAGCCCCTCCCTCACCCCATCGCTATCCTACTTGCCCTCCCTCTTCACCTCCCATACCCATCCCCAATCCACTGATAGGGAAGGTCCTCCTCTCCTTTCATCTGACCCTAGTCTACCAAGTCTACGCAGGACTGGCTGCATTGTCTTCCTCTGTGGCCTGGTAAAGCTACCTACCCACTCTGGGAGAAACGATCAAAGAGCCAGCCCCTGAGTTCATGTCAGAGATAGTCCCTGTTCCCATTACTAGGGAACTCACTTGGACACCGAGCTGCCATGGGTTACATCTGTGCAGGGGTTCTAGGTTATCTCCATGCATGGTCCTTGGTTGGAGTATCAGTCTCAGAAAAGACCCCTGGGCCCAGATTTGTTTGTTTGTTTGTTTGTTTCTGTTGCTCTCCTTGTGGAACTCCTGTTCCCTCCATGTCTTTCTCTCTCCCCCTTCTTCCATAAGAATCCATACACTCTACCCAAAGTTTGACTATGAGTCTCAGCATCTGCTTCAATACCCTGCTGGGTAGAACCTTTCAGAGGCCCTCTGCAGTAGGCTCCTGTATTATTCCCTGTTTTTTCCTTCTTCTGATATCCACCCTGTTTGCCTTTCTGAATGAGGATTGACCATCTTACCCAGAGTCCTCCTTCTTACTTAGCTTCTTTAGATGTACATACTTTAATATGTTTATCCTAAATTATATGTCTAATATCCATTTATAAGTGAGTATATGCCATGTGTGTCTTTCTGCTTCTGGGTTACCTCACCCAGGATCATCTTTTCTAGTTCCCACCATTTGCCTGGTAATTTCATGATTTCCTTGTTTCTAGTTGCTGAGTAGTATTCCACTGTGAAAATGTACCACAATTTCTGTATCCATTCCTCCACTGAGGGACATCTGGGTTGTTTCCAGATTCTGGCTATTACAAATAAAGCTGCTACAAACATGGTTGAGCAATTGTCCTTGTTGTATACTTGAGCATCTTTTGGGTAAATGCTCAGGAATGGTATAGCTGGGTCTTGAGGTAGGGCTATTCCTAGTTTTCTAAGAAAACGCCAGATTTATTTCCAATGTAGTTGTACAAGTTTAAGTTCCCACCAGCAATGGAGGAGGGTTCCCCTTTCTCCACATCCTCTCCAGCATGTGTTGTCACTGGAGTTTTTTTTTTTTCCTTTTCTTTTTCTTTTATTTAACTTTAATTTTATTTATATATTTATTTATTACAATTTATTCACTTTGTATCCTCGATGCAGCCTCCTTCCAGTCCCACCCTCTCTCCCTGTTCTCCTTCTGCCCTTTCCCCAGTCCATCTGACTCTAGCCTATCAGTTCTCATCAAGGATGGCTGCATCATTTTCCTTTGTGGCCTGACAAGGCTCTACTCCCCAGGGGGTAGTGACCAAAGAGCAGGCTACTGAGTTTATGTTAGAGACAGCTCCTGCACCCCTTATTAGGGAACCCACTTGGAAAATGAGCAACCAATATCATTTGAGTTGTTGATCTTAGCCATTCTGATGGGTGTAAGATGATACCTCAGGGTCGTTTTGATTTGCATTTCCCTGATGACTAAGGATGTTGAACATTTCTTTAAGTGTTTCTCTGCCATTCGATATTCCTCTACTGAGAATTCTCTATTTAGCTCTGTACCCCATTTTTTAAATTGGATTACTTGATTTGTTGGTGTTTAACATCTTGAGTTCTTTATATATTCTGGATATTAGCCCTCTGTCAGAATATAGGGTTGGTCATATCCTTTCCCAGTCTGTAGGCTGTTATTTTGTTCTGATGGCAGTGTCCTTTGCTTTACAGATGCTTTTAAGTTTCATGAGGTCCCATTTATTAATTGTTGATCTTAGAGCCTGTGCTGTTGCTGTTCTGTTCAGGAAGTTGTCTCAGGAAGTTCAAGGCTCTTCCACAATTTTTCTTCTAACAGATTTTGTGTGTCTGGTATTATGTTGAGGTCTTTGATCCAATTGGACTTTAGTTTTGTACAGGGTGATAAATATGGTTCTAGATGCATTTTTCTATATCTTAGACCAGCACCATTTGTTGAAGATGCTTTCTTTTCTCCATTGTATCTACCTCAGTCTCTTATGTGTTGGAAGTATAGGTATAGCATAATCTGTTCTGCTTTAATCTGAAATATTTGACTGATTGGTCAAACTCATTTAAATTTTATTTTAGTCAATTAATTTTTTAAAATTTGGAAGTTCAAAGACAGTTTTATTACTGTTTAAAATAAAAACCCCAGTGCAGGCAAGCTGTAAATCTAGGCAGCTAAGCAAAGGAGGAAGATGAAAAGGAGGAAGAGAAAATCATGCCCTTTGATTTAAGCATGTTCAGAAGCATACGTAGACCAGAGATAGAAAAGAAGGAAACAGCATGCTTTTCTGAGTAATTCAGAAAAGTGGGCAACTTAGCCAAACTTTGTGGCTGTGGCTCTGTGAACTGCTTCTTTTAATTTTTTAGATGGATTCTTCCTTGGTCACAAAGACTCGACTGTGACTTTTGAACTTCCTGTTTTAGTTGCCAAAATGTTAGGATTATAGGTATGTACTAACAAGCCTGATTGTGACCAAAATTCACATGTGTGCCTCCCTCCTCATGCCTGGTTGTGTGTGTTGAGACAGTCTATTTGTGTAGGTCAGGGTTTCTACGAACTTGCAGCAACTCTCAGCTTCAGCTTTCTCTGTAATGAGATCACAAGCCAGCAGTACTGTGTTCCTCCTTCAAATGCTGCATTATAATTTCTTCAGTCCTATTCTGCTAGTGCTACATTGTTTAGCTTCTACATTTTAACAAGAAGCCCTAACAATGTAAGCAGAATAAGCAGGGATACCATTGATCTTGACTTCAGTTGTGCTGATGACTCGTAGAGACAAGAAAAAGTTAGAGTATATTCCCATTGAATTTCAGTCCCAATGATTCAGTTCAGCAAGCTTGCGATAGTGCTGTGCAATGTTGCAGGACATATTAAAAGTAAATATGGTTTATAGTGACATGGCTTTTCAAACTGTTATATGGATGATGTGAGGAAAGCCTTCTTGTTGGTATTAAAGACAGAGAATGAATGGATCCATGTATATTGCTTTTTTTTTTTTTTAAAGCTGAAATATCTTTCCTTTGTGTGCATATGTCTGTGCTTCAATATAGACTTGGGTTGTTTGGACTATTCATATTGATACTCATAGCATGTCTTGCATGAGCCTGCTTAACACAATTGTTTCTGCATTGAGAGCTTTTTATAGCTATAAAGAGTATTTGAAAACTGCGTTTAACATCCATATCACAGTAGAAGTTTTTTTTTTTTTGTTTGTTTGTTTTTATGTGATAGAGCCTCATTTAGTATATACTGGCCCTGAAACCCCTAAATGACTAAGACTGGTCTTGAATTCCTGATATTCCTGCTTGTACCGTTCAAGTGCAGGGAAGATAGGCATACACCACCACACTCAGATAGATATGTTGCTTTAAAAAAAAAATGAAAAAATGCGGTTGGATAAATGGCTCACCAGCTAAGAGCACTGGCTGCTCTTTCAGAGGACATTGGATCAATTCCCAGAACCCACATGGCAGCTCACAACTGTCTATAGTCCAGCGGTTTGACACCCTCATGCAGACATAGATGCAGGCAAACATCAATGCACATAAATTAAATTAAAAAAATGAAAAAAAAATCTATTGTGACATGAATGTTTAACAGATTTCTAATACTTGTCAGAACTGCAACAACTTTTCAAGCTCCCACTCCCTTAATCCCAGCACTTGGAGAGGCAGAGGCAGGTGGACCTCTGTGAGTTGGAAGCCAGGCTGGTCTACAAAGTGAGTCCAGCATAGCCAAGGATACACAGAGAAACCTTGTCTTGAAAAACTAAAATATATATATATATATATCTTTCTAATGTCTTGATACAATAAAATGAGCATCCATATCTCCATCAAGTACATTGATTTAGTGTATTGTTTTGCCATGCTTATTTCCTATTTTTCTCTGTCTTTTTTTCTTTTTCCAAAAGTTTTGAGAGTATATTGTTGGCTTCAT